TACAACCAACCTTTTTTATTTTAATTAAAATGAATATAATTAAAATAAATATAAAACACATATTTCTCCAAATAATTTACATAATATCATATAATTTCACAAAAATTTCCCTAATTAAATAAAAACAGACTTAATTATTTTAAAGCCATCATATTATTTATAAAACACATTTTATTAATTAAAAAAACATCCTTTATTATTTTTAGAAAACTTAGGGTACTTGCCTTGCCATGGCCCTACTTCAGTGTTGCATTTCCTCTTGACATAGTTGCACTGGCTTGATATGTTTCAATTATCAATTCTTGATTGGCTTTGGCTATACTAATTATATATTTGAATTGAAGGACTGTGTTATAATAGACAAATTGAGGGCTTAGAAACTATAGACAAAATTTGGGAAAGCAGCAGGCCAAATTGTGTCTGATTTATGCTCTAACCAACGTCAAAAGTGATTCATTCAATGCTAGAAAAGTTTCTCATTTTGTGGTTTTTGGTTACAAAAATATTGTGATAACATTTTGATGGGCATTGTTGCCATAAAGTGCAGCATCCAGTTGGAAAATATTTGGTTGGTTTAAGACAACTGTTGACAATCCTTACAGCAGTGTGGAGTTAATTCTCTCTATTTTAAAATTTTAATATATCATTTTATTAGCATTAGGAGTATTTTGGATAAGGAAATTCACTTCAAAATTTTGTCCTCTTGTTGATCAAAGGTGGGGGTCACAGTTGCTTTAAAGACAGCGATGAAGCTAGGATCAGGTCAAGGAGGAAGAAATTCTGGGAGAAAGCAGTTGATATTGAAGAACTTTGTGGACCAGGTGAAGTATGGTGGGGAGTTAGGGGCTATATGCGTGATAACTTCAATCATAGTAATAAGCCAATATCTTATGCCCAACATTTCCAGAATAGCCGGCTTGTTGAATCTATTCTTGATGTTTACTGGGAACTCCCTCCAGTTGCTGGTCCTTCCCTCACCCATCAAACAAGGTATGATCCTGCTCGTGCACCAAGTCCTATTGTTGAAGATGGGCGGTATGGTTTGTTCAAAAGGCTAGGTTTGGCCAACCTTGACATTTCTGTATTTAATGGTTACACTCAAATGGTTTATTTACAGATATCTGGACAATAATTTAGAGTTTCTTAGACAAGGGGATGATGTAGTAGAAGGAAGTTTTGTACCTGTATTATGTATGAATTGTTTCTTCTGCCTGATTTGGCTTAAGATGTAGTGTCTTTTTTTTTTTTTTTTTTTTTTTTTTTTTTTTTTTAATTCTTGGCCGTTTCCTTTTGAAATTCAAGTTAAGTTATCTTCACTCAATATTGAATTCGTTATAAATTGGTTTTATTACATGTTCACATAACTTGATTGCCAATGTTCTCGTGTGTCAGTACTTTCTTTACCCGTTTCTGCACTTTGCGCCGCAATCGTTCAAAATCATTTGAAATGGAATGGTCGCTAGAGTTTTAAAACATTTGCAAGACTTAATTTTTGTTTATGCGTATCTTGTAGGGCGAAAAATGCATTTCTTCAATTTATGAACAAAGGGTAAAAAATGGTCATAATCGAAAATAAATACAGAAATTTTGAAACATAACGAAAGTGTTTTTATACTCGGAAATGTGAATTTTGTCAAAAGAAAAATGTCCATAACATATTTAAATACATTTTTTTTGTCATTATGAATCCTCCATGAGGGTTTCGTTAAATGGTGCAGGTTTCATCTCTTAATAGGTTTTGTTTTATTGAATAGACCCCTGAAGGAGTGAAGGTTACGGGGTTCTTCCAAGACATCTCACATCTTATGATGTGTTGGCGGTGCACATAACACAATTAGGCACTGTCGGAGTCCTTGTTTAGTTTCGACTTTGGAATCGAAACTGCTAGCTCCAAGTTTCAGTGCAATTTTGCTCCAAATTTCGACCATTAAAATTAAAACTAATCCAATATAGACACTGCATTCATTTCATCTTTCTACCTTCGAAATTCTACTTTCATTTCTGTTCCGGCCAAGGGATGGACTAGGATTTCTACTTAGGTCAAGCCTCAAAGTCAGAACATTTAAAAGTGTAATCTGTCCGCTTAGCTCTAGGGTTTTAGGTCTTATACTTTCTTGTTCATGGGCCTCATGGGCCCCGTGAGCGCAGAGATTTTCATAACCGTTAATATTTGGAAAATATTTTGTCATTAAAGATGAGATTTTGTCCCTGATATCATATCAGTATCTATGTGAGAGGGTCAAATCGGATTTTGGCCGAGTTACCCCTGTAGAGCAGACAGGTCGGATTCTGATCGAGTACACCCATGTAGAGGGGTCAGATCGGATTCTGACCGGGAAGGTACACTTGCCTTCCAGCCCCGAGCCTGTAAGGCGTAGGGGCTCAACTAGCCATGGAATCGGGAAAATACCTATTGAGGGGTCAGATCGGATTCTAATTAGGAAGGTACACTCAAAATGTTCCGGCCAAGGGATGGACTAGGATTTCTACCTAGGTCAAGCCTCAAAGCCAGAGCATTCAAAAGTGTAATCTGTCCGCTTAGCTCTAGGGTTTTAGGTCTTATACTTTCTTGTTAATGGGAATAATGGGAAAAGTGAGAGAAGAGATTTTCATAAAAGTTAATATTTGGAAAATATTTTGTCATTAAAGCTGAGATTTTGTCCCTGATATCATATCAGTATCTATGTGAGAGGGTCAAATCGGATTTTAACCGAGTTACCCCTGTAGAGCAGACAAGTCGGATTCTGACCGAGTGCACCCATGTAGAGGGGTCAGATCGGATTATGACCGGGAAGGTACACTTGTCTTCCAGCCCCGAGCCTGTAAGGCGTAGGAGCTCAACTAGCCATGGAATCGGGAAAATACCTATTGAGGGGTCAGATTGGATTCTGATCAGGTAGGTACAATTTCCCTTCTTTAGTTCAAATTAATTGTAATTTTAGCTAGCGCCAAAGCCAAATATTGTATATACATGTGTGTATGTTTTTATAAAGTTAGAGACAGGAGTGGAATTGGTTGAGTTACATTGGTGCTAATAACATCAAAAGTCAACAACAATTGAGGTTTACCGCGAAACTCGCTTATGCGCTGTGGTCTATGGACATAAAAAATTGGGTAAAATATTAGCGATATGAAAGAGTTTGACGTTTAACAGACGGCTCATTATATATACAATTTTATTTTAATTTAAGTACACCTTTTTTTTTAAATAAATAAATTTTTAAAATATCTTTAATCTTTTTTTATTCTTTAATTTTTTAATTTTATACTTCAAATATTCAATTTAATACTTTTTCTTTTCTTTTCTATACACCTCCTTTTGTCCACTTTCTTACATTCTTCTCATTCTCCACTTATTTTAAGAGTCAGTTTTAATTCTTTTAATTTTTATATTATTTTTTTCTCATATTTTTACAGTTTTCACACTGTTACTCTGCCTCTCCTCTTTCAATTTTCACATCCACCCGAAATAGGAAACTGATTCATGACAATATTGTAGGTATGTACAACTTCTTCAACAGTGTCGGAGTTGCAAGTGAAATGTATGTTTTTTCTTCAAACACTTATTTTTCTTTTACCTTCCTAAAAAGCATAACACTAAATTTAGAGTTACAAAAAATACTTTTCTAAACATTAATTTTAGTGTTTTGAAAAGTATTAGCAACAATAATCGATTTATTGTTCCAAAAATAACTTTCTAAAATTATGTAAAACAACACATTCCCAAATAGTACTTTTTAAAACACTAATTTTTTGAAAAATATTTTTTAAAAGTGTTATTTTACATAATTATAGAAAATTCTTTTCGAAATAATAAATTTAGTATTATGAAAATTACTTTTTGAAAGTACGTAAAAAATACAATTTCAAAAAAATATTTTCCAAAACAACAATTTTACTATTTTGGAAAGTAATTTCTAAAATATTGAAATTAATGTTCTAGGAAGTATTTTCTAGAATACTCAATTTAATGTTGAGGCTTCTAAAAATGTGAAAGGGAGCAAGTGTTTAAAGAAAAAATGTACATCTTCAACATTGTGGAGGAAACTACATGCCTATAATATTGTTGTGCACCAATTCAGTTGCATGTGAAAATTGAAAGAAAAGACGAGAAAAGAGAGTAATATGAAAATTTGAAATAATTAAAATTATCTTTTGAAGTGAGTGTGAAGTGGGAAAAATGTATAAGATTGCATATAAAAATTGAAAGAGAGAAGAAATGAGCTGTGTAAAGAAGAAAAAATTATTAAATTAAAATTTAAAAGTATAAAATTAAAAAATTAGAGAAAAAAAAAATAAAAATATTTTAGAATTTTTTTTAAAAAAAGAAAAAAAAGTGTACTTATAAATTAAAGGTGTATATACCGCTTTAACAGACGTGAGTTGGGTCCATCGTAGAGTTCAGTCCATCTCCTATTCTGGACTGAAATTATGGGAATGCCCAGTCTTGAATTCAATGATGGATCATTTGCCTGGAATAGAATCACACTTGGATTTTTTTTTATTTTTTTTATTTTTTTTTTATTTTTTTGCCTTTAAATCCCGATTGTTACATGCTACAAACACATGATACAACAGGCAATAATTATTTTTTAGGTTTAGATGGTACATTTTAAGTTCGTGAAATTTACTTTGATTTTAGTTTTGGTCTCTATAGTATAAAAGTTTAATTTTTAATAATAAAACTGTATTCAACTCTTAGTCTGTAGTGTTTGTTTCCAGTGATTTATTGTTTACGATTTGAGATTTCCAATTAAATTGAATTTCAGTTCGAGTTTTCCAATTAAATTGTCATGCTTAAGCATTTGGGCATGTTCTGTTCTTTTTAAACAGGTGATAAATTTTTTTGAATTGAGAGCAACCGTTGAAATATAAAAATAATGACAGTTTAAACACATCACAAACAGCACAACTTGTAAATTTCCTCTGGAAACTCGCATTAAAAGCCAAAGAGATGTGGTTATTACCATTTTAATAACAAAATGCAAATGTTCAGTATGTATATTAAAACAAATACATGAAGAAAATTTATAGAAGCACGACAAGCAATTCTTTTATACAGAAACTAAAATCCAGATACACAAAATAGAGAAACAAACAAAATATGTGTATATATATCTGTCTGGATGTCTCCAGTTGAATTCTAATAACTTGTCAGACTATTAATGCACAAAAACTGAGACACTGAATAACATAAGTTTTTGATTTTGAACAGAATCATAAACTCAAACGCCCTTGTAAATCTTTATATGCTTCAGTGAATAGCCCGTTTTGGTGTAACGGGTTTTTCTGCATTAGTTTTGGCTTCTACATTTTTCCATGGCTCTTGGAGCTGCAACCAAGACAATTAGGAACATATTTTTAAGCAATCTTCCATTTCAATATAAAACTAGTTATCCATATCAAAATAATCAAATATTATGATGAAAGATGATATTTGCAATGGAGTGATTCTAGACAACTAATCAAAAACTCAAGATAACATTAAAATAACTCAAGAATATAATTCATGTACTATTTTCAATGGTTGTGGCTCATAACCATAAGCAAGAAATCATGCTTAGACATACCTAGCCCAATTGCTTCAGAGCCTTTCATTATCCTTAGTCTCCGACATGAATCAGTGAACATTCTGCATTTAACAAAGGATTTGAGCTAACTAGTTCAACCATTGAACTATCATAATTTAAAAGTGACATTATACCAAAGCATGATCTTAATATTATGAATTGTAATCAGGACAAGAGGAGAAATAACTTACTCCCATGGAACATCACCCACAAGCATCCAATCTCCATCTTTATCTTCATATGTAAGAACATACTCAGATCCGTGGAGAAGATCCCTCAAAGAGCTCTCACTTAGTCCATCTTTCCCAGGAAGTCCAGGAGAATTGCATTGACCTGATTTTATGTATAGGAAAAAGTTATGGGTGCAGAATTTCAAAAGGAAAATACTATAGCTTAGGCTCTTTCTTGCCAAGTGAATCTACACGGATGTTAAATTCCAATTTTTAAATTCACCAAAGACAAATTTGAACTTGCACAAGAAGTTTCAACATTAAACAATTGGTGAATTGGTAATATGCCTTTGAAAGTCAAACCGAGAAGCTTATGGAAAAAGGCACATAATTAATTTTACAGCTGACAAAAAATGGTCGGTCAAAAATTAAAATAAGTAAAAATGAAAGAAAATTGAAGGTAGAAGTAGTACCAATGGTGAAGCAGCTGAACATCTTCTCAAGAGCTGAAGAAAGCTCCATATAGTTGTAATAGGTTTTGAGATCAACCTTTCTAAGATAAGGGGCACCATCCATACTGACTTTCACATAAAGACAACCAAACCCAGGTTTTCCCTCAGCTTCTTCATTGTTCTTTGTCAAATTAGAGGCCATCGTGTTCTTTCGGAAAGATCGAATTGGTGGCCATCCCACAACCTGTGCTCTGTCGCAAAATTTTAATTTTCATTACTCAAAAAAGAAGAAAAAATTCGTTAGTCACTTCACTTTTTACATTAGAAACAATATCTAACAGAAAAACCCGGATTAAAAATATGAATGTCAATTTTTAATCACACAATTTCATATTTGTTTACTCAAGCTTTACCAACCTAATTCAACATGTTATTTTAATTAAGGCATCACATCTGGCAGAGACAGAGTTTAATATTTTTGTTTATCCTAGGTATGAGAAACACAATAAACATAATACCATATTCCAAAAGGTTAATTTGGCGTTCATGGTCACCAATTCAAAGCCCCCATGAGAAAAAGTCATCCATGGACAGCAAATCAGATGCTAGTTTCATGAATTGCTATATCTCAACAAAAACAATACATCTAACTGAAACTCTTTTAATCATCTGTTCCTTTATTCATCTTGATTATAGCATATGAATAAGAAAAACAACACGTGGATTAGTAATCAGAACAGAAAACAAAGAAATAGTAAAATCTTACTTAGCAGCAGGAGCAGTGGCATGGCCATTTGTTGCAGCAACCTGATCATTCTTTTCCTGAACCGGTTTGGCAAGGTCTTTGTTGGTGTTAGTTTGAGTGTCTAAAGCAACAAGAGTTTTGTCAACATTGGGAGAGAAGAAAGAAGGTCCTTGTCCTTGAGATCCATCAGTGACAATAGCATCAGAGAAGCCCCTCTTAGCCCCAGCCTTCAAAACATTATGCAACTCCTTCCCAAAAAGACACACTCCTCCACCACCTGATTTTCTCTCGCTACCAGGGAGGCCAAGCCTCAGCTCTGTCTCCTTCAAGGTTTTACCATCTTCAGAAGAAGACAGTTTGTCAGAGCTTCCATCCATTGACGGATTCTCTGCCAACCCTATGTAATCATGTTTCAAAGATCTCGACATCAAAACCACAAGATCAAAGGATCCAACACAAGTCCAGTATATACTATAATATAATAGTACTATATAGTATTTGTATGTGTCATAAATTTAATTCACAAAACTTTGAACCGCAAGCTAGTCTGAAAGCAGAGGTTCAACAGCAGTTATGTTGTGATACTGACAGGGAAGCTAAGACCTTGTTTTGTTGATGCATAAAACAACCTTCTCTGCCCTTTCTTTAGTATAGTAAACCTTTTCCTCTCCAATGCAACAATAAAAAGGAAAATAAACTTTTTTTTTTAATAACACTTGGTTATAGTATTCATGTACAATGTATTACAAATCTTTTAGTTTTTATTTTAATAACTAAATTTAGAATTTTCCATGTTAACCTCCCTAATAAAAACCAACATCAAATATTTACTAATGACTAATATTCACCTGATAATCTAACTTACATTTTTAATAAATTTTTTCTTTTATATTATATTTTTTATCTATAAAACTTAATTCGAGAAATAAAGTGAAGTTAAAGACTTATTTTATAATTAGAGTAATTTAAAATATATTTAAGAATAAGGGTAATGGGTGTAATAATATATGAAAAGAATGTGTGTAGTGTATAAAGATATTGTTTAGTAGCAGTAAGGTGTTGTTAATGGGGGCATCGAAGATGAGTAAATTGTGATTGGAGTGGATTTGGATACATAGTATAAGCATTAGTTGCAAGTTAGAATTATATTATGAGAAACAGTGTGTATGGGTGTGGCGGTGCACAGCAGATTCATCCACGCCCGTATCGTAGCGTAATAATTGTGATGATGAGATCGAACGGTGTAGGGTGGTTAGGGGACCAAACGGCGTTCAGTTGCTGGCGTTGAGTTTGACAGGGTAAAACCCTCATGATATCATAAATTAAAATGTCTTGTCATGTCTACTTCACTTCATTCCCTAATACTAATACTAATCTTCTGCATTTACCCCTTTAATCATTGCTCTTCCTCCCTCCCTTTGACCAAAACTCACCCAATTTCTTAAATCAAATTACTTTTATTCAGATCCCATGAAACAACTTGAAGAAAGAAAAAAAAACACCTTCAACTTCAATCGAAAAGTATACACGAACCAACTAACCAGATCTATTTATATTTACAATTTTAAAAATTAATTAATTTCTTATAATAAAAAATAGAGAGAATATATGTTAAGGAAAAAGTTGATTGTATCAATTTTATGATATAATAATTTGATTAAAATATTTTTATTTATTATAGGAACAATTAGATAGTAAATAAGACTAATTAATATATTATAGATTAAAAATTTAAATATCAACAAATGGAAGTATTGTTGAAGAAAAAAAAAACAGGTACTTAATATTCTAAAGTGATCACAAATAAATAGAATCAGAGAAATATTCTAAACCTAACAAATAAAATGTGATGAATATAATATTCAGGATAAATTATATTTTTAAGTAATTTATCTTATTTTTTTAAAAGATTTATTTTGATATTTTATCTTAAAATATATTTTTTAATCTTTTATTTTTAATATTTGAGTCAATTTAGTCTTTTAAAATAATAATTATTTTCAGTTTTACAACATAATTTTGAATCAATTTTGACTAATTAAAACTTATAATATTAGATTTATTTATATGAAAACTATAATAAACCTTTAAGTTTAAAAGGATTATAAATATAGTGAAAATCATATAAAAATATATCTTATATTTGTTGTATATAAAGACACTTTGACCATTTCATGTCTCAGGTAACATTTTTATATTTATATATTTGATCAAAAATAAAAGAAAAACTTATAAAAGTAGAATAGGCATCATTTGAATAATTGGTTGTCCAAAATTGAGGCTGATACTGACCTCCAGACCCAACATAGGTCTAAAATTGTTTTAGAAACCTAACAAGTTGTTTGTGCAAACTGAGGTTGGCAAAAGCAGAAAGAGGCAGCTGTTATGAACATTTACTTTCCACCAATTATTAGTTTCCACGATTCAAAGTGTTGTTTTTTCTTCTTTTCCTTAAATTAGTTGAATTGAGGACTGGGTACATTGCATCGACATGGATTGTGCCCCCACTATGATTCATATATATTATAATGAATTGTTGGTAGTTCGTATAGTTGTATATGTCTTTCATATATTCTTTCTGCTAAATGGGGCTGCTCGATCATCAATCATCAATGCTGTTTTCCCCTCTTCAACTAAACTCCATCTCTTATCATACATTACTAACATTCTTCAACCTTAAATGTTTAATGTACTATTACAAACATGTTGCTCTATGTAATCCGATAAAAAATAATTTAACTTATTAACATATATTAAAAAACCATTTATTATATTAAAATTATTAACACACATAATTTATGGCAATTGGTAGTATACTTTTCTTTCTCTCTTTTTCTCTTCGTTTGTTTAAAAAAGAAAAGGAGTCTTTGCAGCAATATGTGATATTTTACTATTTGTTTACTGATATGTTATAATTGTTAAATTTTGTGAGTAAATATATGTTTATGTATTCCTTTTGTTTCTATGTATACTTCTTCTATGGGAAAAATAACTGTATTTATTTATTCTTTTAAAAATCAAAAACTAACATTGATTATTGTATTTTTTATCATATCCTTATTTTTACATATTTTTTTAAACATATATACTAGGGGTTAAAAAAAATTTTAATATCAAACAAATAAAACAATTACATTTCACAATTTATATAGGATAAAATATATTTTTTAATTAGTCCTCAAAAAAATTCAAAATTGAATTTTGATTTCTCAAAAAAGAAAATCTTGCACTATATTTTGTTTTTCAAATATGAAAATATATCACTTTAGATCCTCAAAGTGATTTATGAATCATTTAAAAATGATTATAAAAATATAATCTAAACCACTTTAAAAACAAAAATAATGTGTTTTCAAAATAGAGGACGAAATATAGGTAAAAAAAAATTTTAGGAATAAAAATATATTTTAAAATGAATAAATATAAAGGTACTGTTTGGTTATATAAGATATATGGCAACTCATATATTTTAACAAATTCTTTATTATAATTAAGTTGAAATTTGCTATAAAATTATGTGTATGGCTCATTAATTAAATTGGAATTTAAATCATATATAGTTTTACTAATATCATTAAATTCATCAATAATAAATAATATATTAAAAAAATATGTTATTGACATTTTTCACATATGTACCTTTTTACCTCACATAACGGTTAGGTTTCCTTAGCAAACAAATAACTCATTTCATTTTTTTTCTTCATTTGTTTACTTCTTTAACAAATTTTATTTCTATTTATCAATTTAGTTAAAAGTTCAAAATCAGGACCAAAAATATATGTATGACGGGTAAAAAAAAAGTTAAAAGTTCAAGGTTATATTTTTTCAATTATATTCTTATATAAACCTATTTCTTAAATATTTTATATATACAATTAGTGGAAATAATAATAATAAAGATTATATTCGTAAGTTAATAATAACTTTAATATAAATAAATATATTAATTACATGTTTTTTAGCTTATACGTTGCTTTCCAAATTAAATAGACAGATAAAGAAGGAATTATATTATTTCTACAACACATTTATAAACTATCTTTTATAACACTTTTTTTTCCCTTCTTCTTTCTAACACTGTATATCAATGATCTAATCTACTACTTTTCTTTCTTCTCTTTCTGTCTCTTATCTTTTTATAAAAAAGTATATTTGTTTTCCTCAAAAATAAAAAGGGTTGAAATGAAGATGAGAACTTACAAAGAACATATGAAAAAGCGTTGTGAATAATTTAATTAGGGGCATGCTTGGTGGGTTACAATTACAATCAAATAGTGTAGTTTAGAAATGTTTAATGAGGTTTTGTGTGTTTTGGTGGAATGATGGATTATGATGACAATAAGCGGTTAATGACTTTAACATGCATGATGCATGATGCATGATGCATGGACCATGGTGTCCCATATGCTCCCCACGCCTTGTTTAAAGCACTGCGCTTTAATTAATTGCTATAACACAATGCAACCACCTTAATGGATAACTCATTCAATCAATCCATCTCATTCTCATCTATATAAACAACCATCTCATGTCTCTTTCACAATATAATAACAATAAGACTACTATATTAGGATATGTGCAACTTCTACTCTATAGGATATACATTGCAATAACTCTAACGATCCAGCTAACTACTCATTTCACACATAGCTTTCTAATAACTTTACCAAAATGACAAATGACAAGCATTACTGCAAATTAATATTATACTGTCTTTTACAAGTAATTCAAAGTCTTGTTGGAGTTTTCTCTCATCGGGCGTTATGAAATCTTAGACATCATTCAGCTAGAAACTCATCTTAAACAACATCAATCACAGCTTTAAAGCCAGAAATCCTACCTTGAACGATTCATCCCAAAACTTGCCACATTTTGTGTTACTCTCTAATCTCTATGACTATTTTTAGCAAACAATCCTTCTATAAATGAGTGAAATGTCAATTTCTTTCTGGAGCAAAATCACAAACGATCGACCGTGTTTTAATTAATTTGGATTCTAAAAGTGACATCAACTCATCCTGATTGGATATATCTAACATTATCAAAAGTTAATGTAGTCATTAAATTTAATAATTATCATGTATTTTAGTCTTTGACTACAATTAGGAACTAACTTGAGGGGTACTTGTCAAGATCATAAATTAATTTACTTTACAACAAAGGTCAAATGCATTGATAATTACCAAAATAAAAATCTATTTTTTCATAATATTTGTAATTAATTTGATATTTACATTAACCTATGATTATGAACTGATTAACTTATTTACTATTTAAAACCTCTAAATTGAAGTTAGAAAAAAAATGTCAATATATATATATATATATATATATATATATGTATTAAAGATTATTGTTTTTAGAAAAGGAAGGAAAATTTTAACCAAAAAACTGTTCACTCGACAAAAAAATTATTAGGTAATTAAAGAGTGCTAAGTAAAAGATTAAATAGAAAACATATGGTTGATGATAGATTATCTACTAAATTTCTCACAGCTAGCCGTTTTATTTGACTCTGTAGTATATGAATTCAGGTAATGCAGTAAAATTGAAGGCTCTTCTCTTCTGCTCAGCCAAAAGGAGAATATTACTTCAATGCGGCAAATTGTTGAGCAGCTCCGGTCTTCATTGTCTCTTAACTTTTTCTTCCT